CCCGCCACCGCCTGGGAGACACTGAAGCGGAAGAACAGGTAGACTTCCATGCTGTTCACGAAGGCTGTTCCGAAGCCGAAGACGATCAGCCCCAGCAGCGACAGTAGGATGGTGGGGTAGCGGCCCAGCCTGCGGGCGACGACAGACCTCCCTGACTGCTCCCTGGCCCCAAGCCCTTCACGGGCCTCCAGGGTGCCTCTACGGGCACCTCCTCGAGCTTGAGGGTCTTCAACTCTGAATGCCCGCGGGGAGTGTGGGGCGTCCCGGGGGCTAGTAAAACTCTGCAGACTCACCTGTCACACAAGAACCCGAAGGTAACAGATCCTATCAGGAAGCCCGCCATGTACACGGTCATCACCAGTTCCCAGTCAAACTCCTTGCCACACACCAGGTCGAACTGCGGGTGAGACGCGGACATGGGCCGCCGGCCTCCACCTGGGCTCAGCTTTGTGGGTCCAGAAACTGAGCCTTCCCCCAGGGTGGGGCCTTTAAGGAGAAGGGGCCGGGAGGAGGTAACTGTGTGTGCAGCAGGCCCGCGCTGTTAACCTGCGCCTCTCACTCTGCACCTGGCTGACCCGGGGGCTAGGCCTGGACAGAGGGCCCAGAGGCACAGGCCATATGGAGGATGGCGTGGGGTTACTGAGCACAGGCCGAATCACTGAGGACTCTTTCCTACATACAAATGCTGGATCGCAGCCTGTAGATTCCAGTTGGACAGGTGTGTGTAGGGCCCAGACTGCAGTTCTGGCTGGGAGACCCCATGAGAGGTACCAGAGCAAAGCAGCTTCTCTCCCATTCCTTATCTTCTGTGAGGTCAGAGGGCAGAACCACCGCTAGAGAAGCAAGTCCCTGGGAAGATGGCAAACCCTGCCGTCCGCTGTCCACGCCTCCCCCCAGATCCCTCTAGCTTCCTGGATAAGGCAGGCAGGGCTGGGGCTGGGCAGCAGGAATTCTAGGTTTCTGTCCCGGCCCAGCCTCTGCAGGGAGACCTAGGACCAACTGCTTCCTTTTTCTGGGCCTCAGTTTCCCCACCTGTTCAGTGAGGGTGAGAGCACATGTCTGGGCCCTTGGGGTGGCTACAGACAACCCAGAACAAGGCACACCTCATCTGTCAGCAGTCGCTTCTTGGACTCAGGATAGATCCACCCGTCCCGGCACATCTCTGTGTGGTTGAGGCCAAACTGGATGATGGAATCTAGATTCCAGTCCACAGGTGAGTACATGAGACATGTCAGGAAGCTGCCGTTGGATTCTCGGGGAAGGGTCAGATTCAGCTGCTCAGCCTCTGACAAGTTGGGGTACATTGCTAGGATCCAGCTGGTGTTGCAATAGGCCTTCTGGGCTGTGAACACTAAGGAGTCAGCAAACGTGAAGAAGGCCGACAGGATGTTGGGGATGAAGGTGAGGGCCACCAGCCTCCGCTGGAATGTGCCGAACTCCCCCACTGCACCCAGGATGCTGGCAAGCTGGTCCTCCTCCTTGGATTTGATGGCCCTCAGTCTATGTAACAGCATCTCCAGAAACCAGGAATGAGCATTCAAGATCCTGGAAGAACGCTGGGATTCAAGTTGCTTTACCTTGAAGTCGTTTTTCCTCACCATCTGTTCAAAGAAAGGATGCAGCTCAGTCTCTACTGACACCACTCCCCAGACATCAGAGGTCAGCATGGGAGACACTGACCAGACACTGGCCTCTCTGGCTTAGAACAACATGGATTGCAATCTTGGTGTTCTCTGTACTTCCCTTCTCTGCTTCTGATGTCTCCTGGTTAGCATAATTTGCCCCTCATTGACTCACCCGCCTGATTCTTAGTGCATTTAAGCCTTTTTAATGTTTTAGAGCACGCTCTGCTTCTGCTGTCCTGAGTGACTGAGTTTTGGGGAACTCTCCCGCAAATGTCCTGCAACTGAAGCTTCGTTTACACACACATTGAGGCACAGGTAGGAGAGGTTGCCAGGGACACTTCCTTCAGAAAACGAACCAAAAAGATCTGTGGTCAGGAGTGGCCAGGAGCTGGGGCCAAGGTGGGGTGGCTGGAAGCCTCAGCCACAGAGCTGGGGAGCCAGGGCAGGTGCAGTGGGACCAGAATAGTAGGATGGCATACAATGGCACAGAGCCAAACTGGAAAGGCAGGTAAGAGAGAGGATTAAGGTAGCAATACTGACTGTAAGGACACTACCCTGGAGCAGCAGTAGGTGGGGAAACTGAGCCTAGCGCGCTCTCGTTTGAGCCAGAATCCTCAGCAGGGCTGAGGAGGTCATGGGCCGAGGCACCCCCTGGTTACCAGCGTACGCAAGCCTTCTCTGAAGGAAAATTTCTCCGAGTTAAGCCTGCAGAACTCTCAAAGGTTTGGGTCAAGCAAAGAGCTTGTCATGGGTTGAATTATGCCCACCAAAAATGTGTGTATCAATTTGGCTGGGACATGATTCCCAGTGTTTTGTGGTTGTCCTCTATTTTGTGATTGTAATTTTATGTTAAAGAAGATTAGGGTGGGATTATAACACCCTTACTAAGGTCACATACCTGATCCAGTGTAAAGGGAGTTTCTCTGGGGTGTGGCCTGCACCACCTTTTATCTTACAAGAGATAAAAGAAAGGGAAGCAAGCAGAGAGTTAGGGACCTCATACCACTAAGAAAGCAGTGCCGGGAGCAGAGCACATCCTTTGGACCTGGGGTCCCTGCGCGAAGAAGAAGCTCGTGTTCCAGGGCAAGATTAATGAGGACGAGGACCTTCCTCCAGAGCCGACAGAGAAAGCCTCCCCCTGGAGCTGACACCCTGAATTTGGACTTCTAGCCTACTAGATGGTGAGAGAATAAGTTTCTTTGTTAAAGCCATCCATTGTGGTATTTCTGTTATAGCAGCACGAGATGACTAAGACAGAGCTCAAAACCAAGATTACCAAACGCACAAGGCAAGCCGTCCAAGAGTCAGCGGAAACAAGAAATGACAGACTTGACTTGCAGATGTCGAGAACTGTCAGATACAGAATACAGAGCAGCTATCGTATGAGCTTTTTAAAGAAATGAAAGGTGCAATTACAAAGGTGAACTTACAACAAGAAGCTATTGGGGAGACACTGAACCTCTAAAAATGAGAACTATACTGTTGAAATAAAAACACCAAAAGGAAGGTTAAATAGATTAAGACACAAAGAAAGCAGTGAACTGGAATATACAGCTGAATGTGAAAGAGAGTTAAAGAGACATAAGAGGTAGAATCAGAAGATTTAACGCACATCTAATTGGAGGCCCAACAGGAGAAATGGAGAAGCAATACTGAAAGAGATAACAGCAATAAATTTTCCAAAACTTGAAAAACATGAATCCTTAGATTCAGAAATCACAACATATCCCAAAAAAGATGAACAAGAAACGCATGTCTAGGTGCATTGCGATGAAGCTGTAGAACACTAATGACCACAAGGTCTTGATAAACAGCTGGAGAGAAGACCGATCACCGACAAATGAATAGCGTCAGTAGGTCTTCTTAACAGCAACAAGGAAACCAACAATGGAGACAGTGAAGAAAATTCTGCAAAATGTTGACAGAAAATTATAGCCAAGCTAGAATTGCTTACTCAGCCAAATGATTTGTCAGGAACTGCAATAAAGACAGTTATAGATAATAAAAAACTGAGGAAGCATACAAGCAAGAGACCTGCTTGAATGGAACTTCTAAAGAATAAGAAGGAAAATTATCTCAGAAAGACAGCTTGAAATGCGGTCATGAGCAATCAAAATAGTAAACACGTAAGCGAATCCAAACATTAATTTGTACTAAATAATACAAATACTATCTAGTTTGAGGAGTTAAAAAAGAAAAAAACAAAAGATAAAGCAATGGACACTGATAATATGTAAGTCAGGAGGAGGACTATCAGAGCCAAAGTATTCCAAAGTCTTCTTTACTGTTCAGGGTGTGGGCAGGGGAGTTACAATTCAAAGTTACATTTGCATGATGGAATATTCAACAAGGATAACTACTGCAATAACATATAAATAGAAAACAATAGTAGAAAAAAGTAGACTGAAGGGAAAAACAAAAACACCTCCATCCAGAAAAAGTTGAGAAAAGAGAAAGAAACCATGGAAAAAGCAGACTGTAATAATTATGATGGGAGAAATGAATCAAGGTATACTGACGATCACTAGTTGAAAGACAAAGGTGGCTAAATTTAAATATTTTTAATCAAAATAACATGCTTTTTAAAAATAGGGTGACCAGTATTTCCCAGAACATTTCTGATTTATGCCTGCTATGCTGGTATAATTATTCATAGTGTTTCCTTTACTTCTCAAAAGTGTCTTGATTTCGATGACAACTTGGTCACCCTATAAGATGACACACTTAAAACATAAGGACATGAGCAGCTTGAGAGTAAAAGGATGGAATTATATTAGGTAAACAATCAACCAAAAACTGCTGGAGCTAAACTTCTACGAAACAAAATAAGCATTAAGACAAAACATCATTTGGAAGAGAGAGGTTCACTGTCTAAAGATAAAAGGTCACTACACACTCACATAGCAAATAATTAATTCTAAATATATATATGCACCTAATAAATGTCTTCAAATATATGAAACAATATGGGTAGAATAACAGGAGAAATTGACAGCCCCAATATCATAATGAGAAATTTCAGTGCACCTCTTTCAACAGATCACATATACAAAAACTTAGCAAAGGTGTAGATTATTTGAATAACACAATTAAGTTTATCTAATGGCCGTTTATACAATTTTGCATCTAACAAAGAAAACACATTTTTCTCAAGCCTACTTGGAGCATTTGTAAAACTTTGTCACATAGTAGGCAACAAAATGACTTCTTCATTGCAAATATCTTTTTTCGCCAACATAAATTGCAACTATATGTGTGAACCTCCCCAGATGGAATGCACAGGAATCAAATAGACTACATCTGCGGAAAGAGATGATGGAAAAGCTCAATATCATAAGTCAGAACAAGGCAAGGGGCTGACTGTGGAACAGACCATCAATTGTTCATATGCAAATTCAAGTTGAAACTGAAGAAAATTAGAACAAATCCACGAGAGCCAAAGTACAACCTTGAGTATATCCCACCTGAATTTAGACAGCATCTTAAGAATAGATTTGATACATTGAACACTAATGACCGAAGACCAGATCAGTTGTGGAATGACATCAAGAACATCATACATGAAGAAAGTAAGAGGTCATTGAAAAGACACGAAAGAAAGAAAAGACCAAAATGGATGTCAGAAGAGACTCTGAAACTTGCTCTTGAACGTTGAGTAGCTAAAGTGAAAGGAAGAAATGATGAAGTAAAAGAGCTGAACAGAAGATTTCAAAGGGCAGCTCAAGAAGACAAAGTAAAGTATTATAATGACATATGCAAAGACCTGGAGATAGAAAACCAAAAGGGAAGAACACACTCAGTATTTCTCAAGCTGAAAGAACTGCAGAAAAAATTCAAGCATCGAGTTGCAATATTGAAGGATTCTACAGAGAAAATATTAAATGATGCAGGAAGCATCAAAAGAAGATGGAAGGAATACACGGAGTCACTATACCAAAAAGAACTGGTAGATGTTCAACCATTTCAGGAGGTAGCATATGATCAGGAACCAATGGTACTGAAGGAAGAAGTCCAAGCTACACTGAAGTCATTGGTGAGAGACAAGGCTCCAGAAATTGAGAGATTACCAACTGAGATGTTTCAACAAATGGATGCAGTGCTGGAAATGCTTACTCATCTATGCCAAGAAATCTGGAAGACAGCCACCTGGCCAATCAACCGGAAGAGATCCATATTTATGCCTAGTCCCAAGAAAGATGATCCAACCAAATGTGGAAGTTATTGAACAATGTCATTAATATCACACGCAAGTAAAATTTTGCTGAAGATCATTCAAAAGTGGTTGCAGCAGTACCTCAACAAGGAACTGCTAGAAATTCAAGCCGGATTCAGAAGAGGATGTGGAACGAGAGATATCACTGCTGATGTCAGATAGATCCTGGCTGAAAGCAGAGTACCAGAAAGATGTTTACCTGTATTTTATTGACTATGCAAAGGCATTCAAGTGTGTGGATCATAACAAATTATGGATAACATTGCGAAGAATGGGAATTCCAGAAAACTTAATTGTGCTCATGAGGAACCTGTACATAGACCAAGAGGCAGTTGTTAGAATGGAACAAGGGGATACTGCGTGGTATAAAGTCAGGAAAGGCAAGCATCAGGGTTGTATCCTTTCACCATACTTATTCAGTTTGTATGCTGAGCAAATAATCCGAGAAACTGGACTATATGAAGAAGACCGTGGCATCAGGATTGCAGGAAGACTCATAAACAACCTGCAATATGCAGATGACACACCCTTGCTTGCTTAAAATGAAGAGGACTTGAAACACTTACTGATGAAGATCAAAGACCACAGCCTTCAGTATGGATTACACCTCAACATAAAGAAAACAAAAATCCTCACAACTGAACCAATAAGCAACATCATGATAAATAAAGAAAGACTGAAGTTGTCAAGGATTTCATTTTACTTGGATCCACAATCAACACCCATGGAAGCAGCAGTCAAGAAATCAAGACATTGCATTGGGCAAATCTGCTGCAAAAGACCTCTTTAAAATGTAAAAAAGTAAAGATGTTACCTTGAAGACTAAGGTGTGCCAGACCCAAGCCATGGTGTTTTCAATCGCCTCATATGCATGCGAAAGCTGGACGATGAATAAGGAAGAGGGAAGAAGAATTGACCCTGTTGAA